CCAGGACGCGAGCGTGCAGCGCCTCGCGTTCCGCGGGAGAAGTCATTGAATGATTGATATATATATATATATATTGGAGCCTAAAATCCTTTGTACGTATGGCAGTAACACTAAAACTTCTTAACTTAAACTAAAATCACTCAACTAATAAAGTAATTAAAATTAACATGTAAATTGCAACTCATTGTAGGTAACTAATTTACATTATGACTGTGGTATTTCCTACTACAATCAGTAGTTACAAGAAACGTATCAAGTTTTACATAAAACTCTTCATACTGATAATCGCAATGTTCCGTAAGCGTAATTCTTCATTTTTTGCTGGGTTTCTTACTTATTCCATGTAGGTAATAGGGAGGATAACTTTTAAACATAACGTAACGTAACATCACGCCTTTTATCCCCGAAGGGGTAGGCAAAGGTATACCTACATTAAGGCACATAATGCCACTGTACAATGTAACACCCACTTTTCACTATTTATGTTATGAGTCCCATGTAATAGGGGGTGAGCCTATTGCCATTTACCGGGCACAATTACAGACTCCGTGCTACTATAATAATAAGCCTCTTATCCTGAACTGCTTTTTCTTTCTGTAGTTGTCTTTAGTTGTCTTTAGTTATAGCATGTCTCTTAGTTCAGTGTGCCTTTTGGCAAAGGCCTCCTCTAACATTCTCCATTGAACTCTATCTCTAGCAACCCTTCTCCATTTTGGGCCTGCCGTCAATTTCAGTTCATCTTCCCATCTCTTGCTTTGTCTACCTCTGTTTCTTTTCCCATCTCTAGGGTACCAGTCTGTTATGATGTTGCTCCACTTCTCTTGGGTGCAGCGCAGCATGTGCCCGGTCCATCTCCATTTCTGACTATCTATTCTAGTAAGTATGTCTGTGACTTTTGTCTTACTTCTTATGACGGTGTTTCGTACCCTTTCTTGTTTCTTAATACCTATCATACTTCGTTCCATAGCTCTTTGGCAATGTTGCAGCATGTTCCTATGATGTTTCGTAAGAGCCCAGGTTTCACACCCATAAGTAATACATGGGAGAACGCAGGTATTGAACACTCTCCTTTTGATACCAATACTAAGGTCTGTGGATTTCATGATTTCTTTCAGTGACCAATATCTTTTCCATCCGTTAGTTGTTCTTCTATTGATTTCTTTCGTAGTTATGTCTATATGTGAAATGATTTGTCCTAAGTATATATATTCGTCTACATACTCAACAGGTTGGTTGTTAATTTTTATTTCGTTTTTGTTTGAATTCGTAAGTAGCTTTATTCTAGATTCTAGAAAAAAAAAAAAAAAAAAAAAAAAAAAAAAAATGATACAAGATCTAAATAAAGAAAGTGAGAATGTGGGCCTATCTATGAATATAAGCAAAACAAAGCCGTGCTACTACTTAAATTAAAAAAAAACCATAATACTTTGCTCGACCCGGGAACCGAACCCGAGACCCCTTGCCCGGCAGTCGCAATTGCGACCACTTGGCTAACGAGGCAGTCGTTTTGAACTTATAAAACATAGCATAATAATAGGGTCTTTAGGATTGAACAGCGTGAAATCAAGTTGCACATGATTAAAAAAACAACTAGATAAGCTAGTTAAACACTTTGGCAATGTGTGAAGATGTGGCTTCGTTGTAAATCTTCTATAGCGTATACCACGGAGAGTGCTCTGCTGAATTGTTTGATACCTGCCGCGTCTTTCCACCATCGACCCTCAAGACAGCAAATCCATCCCTATTATATAGATGGTTGGCAGGCCACAATTGTGCTCTTCTCTCGTAGGTTTCTGCCTCGTACAGCAAAGCTGTGAAATAATCTGTCGTTGACAGTATTTCCGAACGAATACGGACATTTAAGAAAAAAGCTTCTTCCTTTTTTAAAGGTCAACGTCGCCCATGGACACCCGCAACACAGTCACAGGTGTGTTGCCGGTGTCCATGGGCGACGTTGACCGCTTACCATCAGGTGATCCGTCTGCTCGTTTGCCTCCTATTCCATAAAAAAGTAACTAATATTTCTTCACAAACAATGTATAATAGGTACCACACATACGTGTATGCAATAAAATATGAAAGAACCATGCTTAGTATGAATAGGCCGGATTGACCTGAGTGATATCACGGCCCCTCAGAAATCCGACGGGAAAAACCATGTAGCGTCAAATCTTGAAAAGCCTGGCAATGCAATTCTTATTAATCTTGTCATCATCATCATCATCATCATCATCAACAGCTTATAAATGCCCACTGCTGAGCAAAGCCTCTTCTCACACGGAGAAGGTTTGAGCATTAATCGCCCCGCTGGCTCAATGCGGGTTGGCGATTACAAACTTATAATTAGAAATTATAAGCCCAGGTTTCCTCACGATGTTTTCCTTCACCGTTTGTCAGTGTTATCTAGATAATCTTGTAAAGTACATATAACTCGGAAAAAGTCACATTGGTACTTGCCGTTGGTAGGTTTTGAACCCGCATCCTCATGTATGAGAAGAGGGTCCTAAACCTCCGGGCCACCACGACCTTCGGCTGGTACTGAAAGCGTCTGCGGTATCAACAACATATGTATCAACAACTACTCATTTGCCGTCATATACCATACAAAAAATCAGTCCCTTATAAAGGCGAGACCAGACTGGTGGTTTTAATGGACAATGGTTACAGGTAGTACGAAGTCAAAGCAAAAAGTACTATATCAAATGTTTACACATTCTCTACAATACCTACTAGTACACAATGAGAAATAAAAGAAAATATTAAACAATTTGTACAAGTATTTACACCTACTTCGGTTTTAGTTTACCTGGATCTATGAGAAAAGGAACACGAATGAATGAATAACTTTTGCCAATACCTTCCTGAATATTTGGATAAAAATTTTCAATTCAGCCAGTAATTCATTCAACAAAACAATACATAAACATTTGTTAAACAATTTTATGCTACTGCCTCGTTGGCCGTGTGGTCGCAAGTGTCGGGCAAGGGGTCTCGGGTTCGATTCTCGGGTCGGGCAAAAGTATTACTGGGTTTATAAATCTCTGTAATAGCACGGAGTCTGGAAATGTGCCCGGTATATGGTAATAGGCTCACTCCCTATTACATGGGACTCATAACATAAATAGTGGAAAGCGGGTGTTACATTGTACAGTGGCATTAAGTGCCGTAATGTGCACCGCCTACTCTTTCGGGGATAAAAAGTCGTGATGTTATGTTATGTTTAATGTTAATAAGCACTGTTCTATCAATCAAACCTTTTCGTTTAATATCCATAATAGATTCATCATCATGATCATCATCATCAGCCTGTATTCGTCCACTGCTGGACATAGGCCTCTCCAATGGCACGCCACTGAGCTCGTTCATTATATTGTATGATTAGTTGATTACCAATATGAAAAGTGTGTACCAAATATCAGATCGATCTGTCGTCAGGTAGTGGTAAAATAAATTACTGTTGACCCAAATAAACAAACAAACGGTCCACGCTAAATAAAACCATTTAAAAAGTGTTTTTTGTGATCTTCATAAAATTAGCCGTTTGTAGATAATTTTAGTTTTTAAAAATTTTGCTGTCAATTTATTGTTGAATGGCTACCTTTAATTCATTAAATTATATTAAGTCCAATTGGACAGAAAAAGGTGTCACTGGTCAAGGTCGTAAAGGTTTATTTCCCGCTGTGCTGCTGGGTTTTTTGACATTAAAATTCCCAATTATAAGTAACCGCAAAATCGGTACCTACAGTCATAACAATTATAGGTTTTTACATACATACATAACCTCAATCCTGTCTCCCATGGGGGTATACAAAAGCTATATAACGCTTATTACACATTTTACACACAATTTGTACACACCTCTTTCGGTTCTTCAGTCATCAGTCTTTTCATACATGCTCGTCAGATTTTTTTTAAGGGGGAAAATCACCGAATGTCTGCTCCCGCTTGGGTGAGGCGGGAGGGAGTGTCAGACATGCCCAATTACCCTTCGGTTCCCCAATCTCCCCAATCCCTAAATCCCCAACGATCCTCAAACTCCTAATCCCCAAAAGGCTGGTAACGCACTTGTAACGCCTCTGATGTTCTAGGTGTCCATGGGCGACGCCGATTGCTTACCATCAGGTGATCCGTCTGCTCGTTTACCAGCTTATGCCATAAAAAAAGAAACTCACATATTTTCACATTTATGATATAGTTCAAAGCTAATGTCAACCGTCGGCCCTATAGTTACAGCATAAAGTCCACTGAAGATTCGACAAACTTATATTTGCTTTTGATACAGTAACTGTGTCTAAGGATCGAGCCGTAAAAAAATGCTCAGTGTTGTGCCCTGAGTATGTAAAGTCATACCAAGTTTCATTGTAATCCGGTAGGTTTTGCGTGATGCGTGAACATATAGACAGACAACAGATTTTCAATCACATTTTTGGGTTCGGTGCCACATTGTAACCCTTGTAACTTGTAACCCTATTATTTTTTGTTAGATTTTCGATTTACAGAATTTATACTTTTACAGTTTTATTATATGTATAAATAGATATATAAACTTATATCTATTTACAGATATAGATTCGCAATGACATGAAATTATTGTATAATATTTATAAAATGTAACTGTAATATTCTTCAATTAGAAGTGTTTACACCAAAAGAATCCTATTGTCTTTTTATTTTCCTTTCACATTGTTAAGTCATCGTTTATCTCTATAATATTATTGTTTGTTTACTCACTCGACTCGATAAAGAAACAACCAACTGCAGTGGCGTTAAAACACTGACCGCAATACCCTATTAACAAAAACAAAATAAAACGGACAAATTAAAAAAAGAAACATAAGCGAAAAAAGTTCGTAACTAATTACCCCAACCAATGTCACTCGCTACAATTTTACTCTCGAAATACAAACATAAATAACCGCGTAACTAATATACTAACAAGCGTACAACTGCTAAAGACAGTTGTCGCACTCCCACTTACTTAACATAGCTCGAACGTTAACCATTGTATCGCGAGTGGTTGCACTGTACACACGGATGAAATCGCGAGTGTAGTGAAGTGTTAAAAATGTCAAACACAGTCTGGACTCCGCCGAACATTGGCCAAATCTGCCCCGAGCAGCAGGCCCCTTTAACTCAATGTTCAACAACAGGATTCGTGTTTCTGTCCTTACTAACTCAACTCTACAGTCACTCAAGGGATGACCCTAAGAACGAATATCCAGAGTGGCAAGTACCATCGTTTCGGGATACAAAACCTATATCACCAGAATTTGAAGCAGTGATCAGTCAGTTTCCGGAACCTACACTTCCACCATTAAGTTCGTCAATACAAGACACATTTTTTACCAATAAATTTCAAAATACGTTTAAAACACCAATGAAAAATTGGGAGAAAGTGACAAGAGTCCACAGTCGCGGTCCCGGTGGCAGTCGAGGATTATCAGTAACATCTTACTTCCCGATATTCGATTTCGAAAAATTCAACAAAAAAACTGATAGCGAAGAAAGTGAAGAATTCAAACGCGACCGTGAACGATATGCATTTGAAAATAGGGCGAAGAAGGAAGACTTGGATATGGCGTTTGATAATCCTTTTTCGAAGTATCACAGGGACGCTGACTTTGATTTTATGAAGGAGATCTTTACGGACTCTGAGCTTGAGACATCAAAGAGTGATAAAGTTGAAATAAGGAAGATGAAGAAGATCGGTTCGAAGAAACGTCGAAAAAGGCAGACTTCGGATCAATATGACTTCATAGTGGTCGGGGCTGGATCTGCTGGATGTGTGATAGCTAACCGTCTCTCTGAAGTAAAACAATGGAAGGTAAGTAAGATATTCAACTTTACTTATCATATATTATTGTACCTGTTACTGATTGAATGATAATTCATTTATTTATTAAGTAAATTTACATATATAACATTACAACATACGCCATTAAGTTATATTATTAATCTTATATAATTACTATTAATTTAGTAATTAAATATAAGAAATTAAAAATAACTGCCTCGTTAGCCGAGTGGACGCAGGTGCGACTGCCGGGCAAGGGGTCTCGGGTTCGATTCCCGAGTCCGGCAAAGTTATACTGGGTTTTTAAAAAAATCTCCGTAGTAGCACGGAGTCTGGAATTGTGCCCGGTATATGGCAATAGGCTCACCCCCTATTACATGGGACTCATAACATAAATAGTGAAAAGTGGGTGTAACATATTGTACAATGGCATAATGTGCACTTCTGCCTACCCTTTAGGGGACAAAAGGCGTGATGTTATGTTAAATAAAAATTAATACAATTTAAAAAACTAAATAAAGATTTCACAATTGAAGAACAAAATAGGTAATCATAATAATTTTAACCTAAAACAAACATTAACATTTATTTATTTTATTTTATTTTATACATATATAACACTACAGCTTACGCTATTAAGTTATACTGTTAATCTTATGTAAATACTATTATTTAAGTACTTAAAACAAACTAATTAGGTAATCAAATATAAGAAATAAAAATGAATACAATTCAGAAACGAAAAAAATATACAATTGAATGACAATTTTTGTTTTTTTTATGGCATAAGCCGGTAAACGAGCAGACGGATCATCTGATGGAAAGCAATCGGCGTCGCCCATGGACACCTGGAACGCCAGAGGCGTTACAAGTGCGTTACCGGCCTTTTTGGGATTAGGAGTTTGAGGATCGTTGGGGATTCAGGGATTGGGGAAATTGGGGATGGGGAGTAATTGTAACTTGTAACATTATAAATGTAAAACTACTGACAATAGGTTGATAGTAGTTGTTCTTGAGGAAATCGGTTTCAAATGACGAAAATAGTTTGAAAACTCTAAGCAGAATAGGAGTGAAGTAGAATATTTTTATAATTTGTTTTTTATATTTGACTAGCTTTTACTCGCGGCTTCGCTCGCGTCACAAAAGGATAACAAGTAGCTTATGTGACATATACACACAGCACCATCTATACCAATACTTTTGTTGTCCCCCGAGAATATCACATTTTTCCGGGATAAAAGTACCCTATTATTTAATCCGGACTTCTAACTTTACGTCTGTAAAAATTTAAAGCAATCGGTTTAGTAGTTGCGGCGTGAAAACGGAACAAACAAACAAACTCATTTTCCGAGATTAAGTATTCACTAGACTGGCAATTATTAACAGTGCATTCAAAGAGTCAAGGTCGAATTACTAAATTATATTCAACTATTGTAGTTCTTACAAGTGTAGAAGCAATATTGCGCAATCCGATTTCGATTCGATTCTCAATACGACACGCAATGTCAAACTCTCTTTTGTAGTACATATTTTTGTTTAAGTAGCCTGTACAGATTTTTTTTAGTTCATGATGTTGAGTGAGTGTTGTCGCTATACATATATGTACCTATGAAGTACGAGTTTGATAGTTGAATTCGTTCCTTACAGTAAGGAAGTTACTGCGTGAAAGCGGAACAAACAAACAATCAAACAAACTCACTTTCCGATTTATAATATTAGTAAGGATGAGCCGACGTTTAGCCACTATCTAGCATTTTAGCATCCCATGTTATCAATATAAGAACTGGATATTCAACATGATCCGTATTGTACCTCTACAAAGAATTTAAATACAAAACCAATGGCAATTACGAATTTCCTAAAACTATAACAATGATAATTATACCAATAAAATATTGATTGCATACAAAAAACTCGTATTTTACGGCCTACTAACGATTTCGCACAAAAACTTGTATGAACTTGACCGGGCGCATTGCATTGGTAACCTTGGTTCAATGGAGCAATCGCATAAAAGTTTACAGTCGTTAAAATGTACGTTTCACTTTCAGAAATCGATCACCTATATTGTTATGAAAGAAATTAATTTAATTGTCCATATAATACTTACTTAAAACATATATTGACACACCTTGTACGATTCAGCGGCTGTACATCGCACGCATCATTCATGTCAGCATTAGCTGCAATATTAAGTTTATTTGCAATATATAGCTGCAATATTTAGCAATATTAAGTTTATTTATTCATTTCATCATAATTTTAGCAACCAATTTGGACCTGTACGTAATGCAGTTGTTCATAGCATCAATTTTTTTTAATCATTAGTTTAATTGATAATATAGTCGAGGTGTTAGTTTAGTGTATCATTAAACTGTCAAACACCGCGAGGACACTGGTGACCGCAACCTATTGTTCTTTAATTGTGTCTATAATGACGGTACTCAAAGGGTTAGATATTATCTCACCGGACTATCAACCGGCTCATTTTGATCTACACTCCAAGTTGTGTGAGACTCATTCAGCATCTCATAGGTGTGTATGTATCCCTCTGGGGCAGATAGAACAAAAATGCTAAAGAAGACGATACTGATATACCTATTTCGCTTCATCTACATTCACCAATCTCTTCATGAATGCTCGTCAGTTAGGCCTATAAATTTGGTCCTAATTCATACTTTTTGTTTTAACTTTACTATTTAATAATGCTGAAGAGTTTGATTTTTTTTTTTGAAGACGTTAATCTCCGGAACTACTAATCCAATTTCAATAATTATTTTTGTGTTGGATAGTGCATTTATTGAAGAAAGATATAGGCCTTAAAACATTACCCTATGATCAATAGGAACCGAGTAATGGGTGAAAACGCGCGACAGTAGGTAGTCTATATAAATAAAAATGAAACCCGTTACCCGTTGTCACGCCATAACTTGAGAACGGCTAGACTGATTTGGCTGATTTTTTTTTGTTGTGTCTATTATTGTCAGGAGAAGGTTCTTATGACAGATAAAAAGTCATGAAAAATCCTAAGGGAACCGAAGAAAACGAGATTGCGCGTACCAAGTCGCGGACAGAAACTAGTATATAATAAAATATGACGATATATAAATATGTGATATTTCTCACATCTGGTCTAAAAGAAATAGGCTCTATGATCATGTTGAAGAAACATTATTGTTTAATTAAACTTTAGTTATAATAATAAACAACCATGTTATGTATGTTTTAACACACCCGTTTCCTCAGTTTAAATAGGGGTCACATATAGCGAAAATGTTATTTCAAATTTCAGACTTAATGCTATTATTGACAGTCTAGTTTATGTTGCTTGGCGTTGCAAATTCAAAGCATTTATTTCAATTAAACCATAATTTGGTACTTTTGAAACGTCAACAAATCATCATCATCATCATTATCAGCTTATAAATGCCCACTGCTGAGCAAAGCCTCTTCTCACATGGAGAAGGTTAGAGCATTAATCACCACGCTTGCTCATCGCGGGTTGCCCATTTCAAACTTATAATTAGAAATTATAAGCCCAGGTTTTGTCACGATGTTTTCCTTCACCGTTGGTCAGTGTTGTCTAAATAATCTTAGATAGTACATATAACTCGGAAAAAGTCACATTGGTACTTCCCGTTGGTAGGTTTCGAACCCGCTCCCTCGTGCATGACAAGCAGGCGTCTTCAACCTCCGGGCCACCACGACATCTTTGACAACAAATACAAATACAAAATAAATAATAGTATTATGTCAGTCCGGACTGACATACTATTATTTATTTAGCTGTAAATTGAAGCTAGCTAACTAATTATGTATATTATCTGCCTTCATTTTTATTGATTTTCCAAAAAGGAGGTTTTCAAGTCGCTGTTTTCTCAAGTCGGTGCCACAAACACATAACAAAATTTATCGAACGATTTAAGTTTTCACGAATAGTTTTGTTTAGGACTGCGGGCACCGGCTTTTTAACTTTCAGTAAATGTTGTATTTTTTTATGACATAAGCCGGTATATAAATCAGACGAATCACCTGATAGTAAGCAATCGGCGTCGCCCATGGACACCTGGAACACCAGAGGCGTTAAAAGTGCGTTACCGGCCTTTTGGGGATTAGGAGTTTGAGGATCGTTGGGGATTCAGGGATTGGCGAGATTGGGGAAGGGGAGGGTAATTGGGCCTCCGGTAACCTCACTCACACGATAAAATACAACGCAAGCGTTTCTTCATGTCGGTTTTCTATGAGGCCGTGGTATCAGTCCTGTCGAGCCGGCCCATTCGTGCCGAAGCATGGCTCTCCCACACATGTATAACTTGTATAACACTTGTATATCACAGTACAATGAATAATAAGATGTTATTAGTTTTTGAAGTCCGTTTTTTTAAAACGTAGTTTTATTTCATTACAAAAAAGTCTCGCGAATATTTTACACGAAATATTTAGTTTTCGTAATATCATAAATAGATGCAAATGATTACAATACCAATCATTCTTTACAATAAAACAATCGATGGTACTTAAAGGAATGTTGTGATCAGAATCGCAAAACCTTTGTCACACGCATTTCATAATTGCAATGAAACAATCCATTTACTCATATATTTACATTCTTTTAGATAATTCTGGTACAAAGGTGTGAAAAAATGTCTGAAGATAAATTTCTTGTTTCTTTGAAAAACAATAAAATGTTTTCTATATATGTATTTTTACATTTCTATACAATTTCTTGGCTGCCTCATTGCCCGAGTGGTCGCAAGTGCGACAAATATTGCTGGTTTTGTTTTAAAGAAAATTCTCAGTAGTAGCACGGAGTCTGGAATTGTGCCCGGTATATGGCAATAGGATCACCCCCTGTTACATGGGACAGTAAAAATTGGTGTTACATTGTACACTGGCATTAAGTGCCGTAATGTGCACCTCTGCCTACCTCTTCGGAGACAAAAGGCGTGATGTTATGTTACGTTATATATTTTCTTTAACTGCACAGTTGGTCCTGTGTCTAAATCGTCTAATAAGCAATGCACCGCTGT